TATCTCGTTGCTCTGTGTTTTATGCGTGTGTACTGAAATTGTGCACTTGATTAACTGTACATACATATATATATATATATATAGTATTAAAAAATTAGGAGATCAGCCGACTCCTCTACCTTTGTTTCAACTTTCAACCTTTCAGTATCTTCAGGCGATTTCGGTCAATCGATTTAAAAAAAAAAGGATACTGAAAAGTTGAAACCAACCAAAGTAACGAAATCGGTTGATCTCCTATTTTTTTTTTTATATATACTTAAAACTAAACGTTCTACATGTTAAATTTTTATCTTACTTTTTTATTTATTTATTTATTTTTTATTTTTGGTGGGGCAAAAATATTTAGCCTTATCAAAGATTGCCAACATGGTTAGCGGCAAGAACACTTAAAGTTTCCAGTACCTCGTTGCTTTGATAGTTTTTTTTTTTTTCTTGTATTTCTTTCTTTATTGTATTTCGTAAAATTAAAACTGTAAAAAAAAAAAAAAAAAAAAAAATACTACAATTGATAAAGATTTGGGGGGAGCCAAGATCCCCATCCCCCCGCCCCTATTCGGCTGCTACGACCCTGTAACACTAACACTCTCTTCTGTCTCTAAATGCTAACTTTTTGTGTGCATCAATAATTCGTTCCTTCTCACGCAGTGCCCGTTAGGAACAAGCAGAGTCTTCACTTAAACCTAACCTGGGTGGTTGTATTGTATTTGAAGTACAAGTCAATTGGAAACGATTTATTTTTCTTCCTTCGTTGTTCTGTTTTTAATTTCCCCTTATTTGTCTTCTTTTCTTTTTTTTTCCTTTTATTCGGCGTCTCTTGATTTATTTGTACAAGCAAATGAAACGACATTACACAGATTTTACTCTTCTAACCAACTGGCAGACGAAAGCAAAAACACACGTACGTAGACATGTTCTGGCATATATAGCGATATTAACGTCCTGACGGTATGGAAAACATTTTCAAGTTGTTTTGTTATTGTTAGTTACGTATAGTTACCTCCCAAAACAGTGTGATAACTAATGTTTAAAAATATACATTTTAGAAATGAAAAATCTTTATTTTAGCTTTTATTTTAATATCAATAATTCCAGGCTAATAATAAATTTATTTCCAATAAGCAAAAAATACTTTGCTGTATTCCAAATTGAATTTAAATTGACTGGAATTATTTTTTTAAATCGCTAAAATCGGCCATTTTGACAAATCTGTCAACATAATAAAATATACTTTTCTGAAATTTTATTTGATGAAGAGTAACTTGTTTAAAGTTTAATTAATCATAATTAAAACAAATATTAATTACTTTTAGTTTATAATTTTGTAGAAAAGCTTTTATTAACCCGAATTCTGTATTTTGTTTTATGATGTGTTGACAAATTTATCGATAGCTTAAAATGTTTGACATTTTTAAGTAAAGGGTACATGTTAATAAAACGTGAACGAATTTTGGAAAATATTCTAAGTAATATATTCTAATATTTTGTTAAATTTTTTTAGCTAAGTCTTACGAAGACGCTTGTTGAAGATATGTTAGAAAATTACCAATAAATTTGAATTATAGTATAGATACCGCTCTTATTTTCGGATAATATTTCTGGACGTTGGTATTTACAAAAATTAATACGTTCATACACGCACAAAAATATCGAAATCTTTTTTTTTTTTTAAATACTGGGTGTCGCTGAACTGTAGTAAGCTTTTCCATTTATGTTTTTAGTAAATATATAGTTTTACTTAATAACAATATCACCTAACTGCTAAAAATTAATACAGAATTTTTGTAAGATTTAAAACTTTATGAATTATTTTAATTAAATTTAAAAAATGAAAGCCATTCTTGTAAAACGTCATTATTCATAGAAAAGTGGTTTCTTAAAACAACAGTGTCTATAACTTATTCATAAAAACAATTAAAAGTTTTTGTAATTAATGTCTTAATTATATTGTATGTTTAATTTTGACAAAAAGTTTGATGATTTAAATTCTCCAAGGACTTGTCCTTATAACTAATTACTAATATAAATATTAAGCGCTACAAAAATGAATTCTTCGAGATTGCATAAAATTAAATAAGTGGGGGGTATCAAATATAAAAAAAATATTTTTACAAACATTTTCGAAAAAAAGAAACAGTTCTAAAATAATTTCAGTCATTTGTGAATAAGTCCTGAATGTTTCTTTAAAATCTAACAATTATCTGATTTTTGCAAGAATTTCCAAATCAAATTGTTTTTTTTTCTTCGCAAAAAGACATTCAGATTTCCCATACTAAGTTCTGATCTCTCATTGACGCAAGAAACCAAAACTTTTAGCCAAAATTTTGAAGGTTCTAAAAAGGATTAAAAAATATAATTTAATAACAAAAAATCTTTTTGTATTCTTAATAATAACAAAGACTCTGACGATAAAAATTTGTTTTTATTAAGTTTGAGGCATTTTTTTCATCGTGTATATGTTCATTTTTTAGTTAATCTTAGACGGCATCTACTGTTATATTTTTATGTTCAGTCATAAATAATTTTCGTTTTTGTTCCTCAAAAAATAAAATACAATTACATTTTATTCAATTATATATTCACAAATATTTTGAATGACTTGTTGACTCTTATCAAGCAGTTCTTCGATACCTTTGAGTAAAATTCCGATGGTTTTGATGTTGTTATACCAGAACATTACCTATTCTATTATTAATAGACTCTCCCACACATAATAAGTAGTAGCGGTCGCCAGTTGAGCTCAGTGGAGTTGAGCGAGTTAGTCGATGTCAGACATTGAAGTATCAACCATCAGATCTAGATTGCGGTGTCATTAACTCTTATTTCAAGTTCCTAACGTTTTGTACGTCGAACCTAATTTAGGACGACTTAGTTGAAAATACAAGCCTCCACTATGAAAACTACTCTACAACAGATGTGAAACATTTTTCTACGAACTCTTAAATATGGTTTTCATTAAATTGTTTTCCCCCATCAAAGCGTTTTGCAGCCATTAAAAAAAAAAAGTAAAAACGTAATAATCGATCAGGTGAATATGGTAACAGACCAAGCGAGTTCTAAAAATTTTCCTGTATTATTTTTGCTGCATGCAACCTTGCGTTCTCATTTTTTTTCTATTGATAACTTTATGGCGCTATTCGACCAAACCGTTATGGACATATTGCAGCTGCTGGACGTATAAATGTGCATTTGATGTTTCATTGCGTTTTAAAAACTCTAAATAAAGACTATCCCATCTTCCATGGAGATCAGCTTTGAGGGTCGGTTGTGGAGATTAATCCGTGTCAGTCCACAGCCTCTTGCGTTGAACATTGTCGTATGTAACCGTAGTAGTAGGCTAAGTTTAATAAATAGAAATATTTCTTAAATCTCCCTGAAAAGTATCATCTTATCACTTCATTAACATTAACACCAGCATTATTAAGGACAGGTCAATCACCTACCTTCGTTCTGAAACCAGATACTTGGTTAAGCAAAACAAAAACCCTGTACCAAAGCGAAGGACAATCCTACAGCACCCACCGACCACTTACCGAGTTAAATATAAGCCCAGAAAAAGATAGATTAGTTCTTTTTAGCCTTTCGCCAGAAAGCAGTACAGACTATCCACCAAAAAACTAACCAGAATGACTGTTTGTTTCAAAGAAGGAGTGGGTCCCACTCTAAAATTCTTTGTTCCAACGATTCGTGAACTACGAACTCTGTCTCACAAGAAGGATACAAGTTTATATTTGTCTTCAAGAGAAAATAAACTTACCAGTTCGCTAATGAGACTATTTTCCAGTGGAAGAAATGCTAGTTGTTACGGCATAGTTTCCCCAGTAGCATTACGAATAGTAAAACATGTCAGTTATTTTTTTTCTATTAACTAGACTGGCCATTTAGACTGGGGAACATGTAAAATATATTTAAAAACATCAAAACATTATTAAAGTAGTTACTATTTTCATTATTCTGTCCATTTTATGTTTTCAGATGATTGCATTCATCTTGGTTGATTTTAACTTGTAGAATCAGATTCCGACATTTTTTTTTTAATCTCAAATTTTGTGCAAGTTAAACACATAGAGGCTCCCAACCCTGTATAACAACTTATGCATTCTGATTGGTTGAAAAATATTAATTAGGTGTCGTCAACTACGTCCGAAGTTACCAACCCAAATTTTGACCTCTAGTTGACGCCACAAAATGTAAACATGTTCCCGATCCCCCCACGTGACCAAGAGAACTAATAAAAAAAATGTAGGAATCTGATTCTACAAATTAATATGACGTTTCGATCGATACATATTTCATTGACCTTCCTCAAAGGTGTTTGGTATCGCTGTTCTTTAACATTCACTTTGACAATTTTTTATCATTATTCCTATTTTTCTCTTCCTCATATGACACATGAGGATATTCACTTCACATTAAATACGTAGAACTGGCTCCTGTCAATGTTGACAATCTGCGGAACAGCTTTCTTGCTATTCTTGTCTTCTAGAGTGAAGGTCTCATAAATAATATATACTTACTGTAGCCGTGGAAATTATTTTTTTTCTTTTAATTCGGGTCAGCTTTAGGCTATTATATTTCAAATTAAACCGTAATGTAAGTTCAAAGAAAGTATTAAGTTATTTAAAATGCGTTTTCCGTTTTGTTTTTTTTTGTTTTTGTTTTTAGCGTAGCGGTACCGAATTTTTGTTTTCAACCAGAAAAAAAAAACTATCGCCAAAACTTGTGCATATTTTTTTTGTTGCCATTAACTGTAACAGTCCTTACAAGTGCGTACACAATACTATCATCGTGTTAGCACATAAACGCATGCACATTCAAAAATATCATTAACACGTTGAAACCCAAAAGTAGGCATATATATATATGTATTTCCGCGTGTCTATTCAAAAAAAGGAAATGAAATCGATACAAAGTTAGATTTAAAACGAAAGTCTCTACACGCTTACAGTGTGGTGGTGATAGAAAATTTCTAGTCTCCTCGACACTTACCTCAAGTATATGGAATGGCCCTGACCATATCTCTCCTCTTAGTGCAGTTGGGAGGTGCAGACTTCGCGGACTCAACTCCACAGTAAAAAGAGTGTTGCATACCTTTAGCCACGAATGACCAGGGCAGGATCAGATACTCCACCCATTCTGATCCCAGTCTGAAGGACAGAGAAATAATAGAAGATAATGATTACAGTTTTCTTTGGACCCACGCGGGTGAGACAGACCACCATCATCTTTTATTTATTTAACATGGTTCACCTTGATCATGTGTATTTTCCTGTTTCATAGAACAACAAATACAACAGTTGAAATTGCCGTTTATTTTGGAGTGACGAATGGCGTCCCAGATGAATACAAGAAATACAGGAAAAAAAAAACAAACCTCCGGCTATCGTATTCTTCTCAAACTTTTTTATGTTGTATTTCGATGCGATCAATAAGTCTGTAGCTTGACCCGATGTTAGTTGAATTTTGATTAAAAGGTTTCACCGTTTATTATTCGATCTTTGTCCTTAATACCAGTAAATCAAGCATATTGACAAGGAAGGAAGGAATCTATACTGAAAATATTTTATGCAATTTTTTTTTTACGTTTAATTAGGCAACGTTTTTTTATTGACGCGCTCAATTAAAATTTCCAATGCATTTCTCTTTTAGTCTTTTACAAGTCGACTATTTACTAAACTTAGCTTAGTAAGTACTAAATAAAAAAAAAATGGAAGGTTGTGTTGCGGCAGTTTTCTAAGTGAAGAATATCTGCCTTTTGAAAATAAACTTTCAAAGTGCTAGATTTTACCAGGAGGACTTGAGCACTGACCCCTGTTCACGAACTGGAAGTATAACTCCGCGAGGGAGCGGCCATTAAACCGCCTTATTTTATACGAAATTGAATATGTTCATTGAAATTTTGTATGTATGACAATTGGGTAGAGAGAAAAGGCAGGACTTGCGAGAAAAAAAGAAAATAAAAGAAATAATCCGGTGCCTCGTCTTAAAGAGGAATTCGAGATCGAGACCTGTTCTTGTGAACCGACTGCCATTTTGAAGTTTAAAAAAAAATCTATTTCTGTGGAACTTTTGTTTCAACACGCTTATTTTACAGAAGTTAAAAATTATGTGACTAGCATTTCTTATCTCTATCTCTCAATTTTTATCTTTATCTTTTTATCTTTCTTTTCAATCTCTCTTTTTCTTTCTTTCTTTCTCCCTCCCTCCTATCCTTCTTTCTTTCTTTCTCCCTCCCTCCTATCCGTCTTTCTTTCTCCCTCCCTCCTATCCTTTTTTCTTTCCCCTTCCCCTTTTTCTTCCTTCCCCCCTTCTTTCTTTCTTCCGCCCTCCCTCCCTTCTTTCTTTCTTCCCTCCTCCCTCCCCTCTTCTTTCTTTTCTTCCTCCCTCCCTCCTTCTTTTTCTTTCTTCCTCCCTCCTTTCTTTCTTCCTCCCTCCCTCCTCCCTTCCTTCATCCCTCTCTCCTTTCTTTCTTTCTTTCTTTCTTTCTTTCTTTCTTTCTTTCTTTCTTTCTTTCTTCTCTCTTTCTTTCTTTCTTTCTTTCTTTCACTCACTCACTCAAGTTGAACACGACTGTGTGTAGCCGCTGAGTGTCCCTTGCTGATCGACAACCACCCAACCGCTCTTTGATTTTCTAGCAAATCTCATTAAGTTCATTTAAGTACAGCCTTGTCCAACATTGAAACTTAAGGAACGGAACATTATATTTTGGCGCCCCAAAGCCTTAAGAATAATTTTCTCCCGCATTAACAAATCTATTTTTAACTTCCTACCATTTGTTGGTGAGTGGTTTGAGTTATAAACCACTATATTTTGAAGTTATATTTTCCCAATATTCATTGTCAAATGGTCAAACTATATACAGCATAGATATTATTGAATTATTGTGAGCCAAATGCAAATACCGACACTAATTCCCCTCGACTCGGTACTTATTTGGTCTCATTACGCCACGAGTTCCGTAACCCATTTACGATTTAAAAGATTAAATTTTTTTAAAAATCGAAACAATTCTTGTAAAATTCTTTTTCATAATACAATAGTGTCCATAATATATTTTATTCATAAAACCAATTAAAAGCTTTTCTAATTAAATAATTTTTATATTTACCGATTCAGAGCAGATTTTCTGTAACTTAAGGTCCTATTTGAACCCCAAAATCGATGACTTAGCCTTATAAAAACATTAAGCGATACAAAAAATAATTTCTCGAAATTTCCAGTGGGGAAATAACATATCTAAAAAAAAAATTATTACAAAGGTTTTGTTTTCTTAAAAATAAACGTTTCAAAAACGATTTCATTCATTAGTGATTAAGTTCAAGAAAATCTTATTAAAATTCGACAATTATCTGAATTATGCAAGAAATTCCAAATCAATGTTTTTCCACGGAAAAATTTCCAGTACAAATGCAGAATCACACGTTTATGCCAGATAAACAAATTCAAAGGTTCTAAAAAAGGATTAAAACTTTGTTTTTATTAAGATTTGGGAATTTCCCCGCCGTGTATGTTTACTTTTTAGTGAATCTTTGAGGTATCTATATAAGAAAAAGAGACTAAAATTAAAAAAAAAAATTTAATTTAAAAATTTAAAACTCCCAGCATCCCTCGTTCGTGTTGTTGAAATTTTGGCTAATCCTCGTCGTCAAAATGTTGTAACCTAGGAAAGGTTCCTGAAAAGAATAATCAAACGAAGGTTGGTAATGAACAATAATACTTAGGACAAGAACAGCACATATAAGATTTGCCAGCGGCGCGTAGAAGTAGTAGTCAATTGCTAGAAGTGAGTCAATTGAATTCCACAATGAATCTCCAACTACAGGAGATTTAGCAGCCGCCCCACGTAGTCAGATGTGGCACTAGGCCGAATTTAATGTGGAGTATCCAAGCCCGTAGGCTCGGCCAATAAATTCCCGTAGACACCGTATAAAACGGGGTCGAGTAGCTGTTTCCGGAGACGAGAATCTGCCCTTCGACATAGCCTCGTCTGGGCATCCTCTCTGCTCGGAGGCAGAGAGTTTGACCAGCACAGCTGGAGACGAATCTCCAACTGCAGACCAACATACAGTATTTACTACTATATTTATGCGAATGGGGACATACCCATTATCGTCCGTATGCTACAATATATGTGCATGTATAGTCGCACCAACAATTTCCTAAAGGACGAAACGCGTCACAAGAAAACTTTTTCAACTTTGTCAGACATTTTCCCCAATATTGTTCTGATATATAGAAATATATATCGTTATCTCGTATCTCTCTCTCTCTCTCTCTATATATATATATATATATATATATATATATATTATATATTAGTTCCAACGTTTTTTGAAAGAATAAAAATGTTTGATTAAAAATAAATTCATTAAATCTTCAGGAATATATAGATAGATAAAGAGAGAATCTGGTTTGACATTTACCAGCGCAGGAAACTAAACTGAGGTCAGATTTGCAGTAATCCTCGTGGGAAAGGCATGAATCTACTTGATTTTATCATTATATATCTGGACACAATATCTTGCCACTGATATGCCTTGATGGCTAATAGAGAAGAGAATGGACTAGTGAGAACATAAGTGAATCGATGTCCCATAAGTATATTACCTGACGAGAAAGGAGTAACGGAAAGCTGTTACCCCCTTAGTCAGCCTTGACATGGTTAAAAGCCCGCACATACTAACTCTCTCTCTCGCACACACACACACACACAAACACAGCTCAATAGATAATTATCCGTTACTGATTGTTTCCAATATCTCAAAAACTTTATTGGCATTCTTCTTTCTTTATCTCTCAATGGAATTATTGTCATATCGCATCAAAGCAATGAATCTTATTCAGCCAAATATGAAAAAAAGCGATATAAAAGATAAACAATGCAAAAATGAATTTAGTTAGAATTTACTTTTCATGCATAAAACAACCTTTGTTTCCTTCCCTACCGAAAACAATAATAGTAATAAAAAAGAATTATGAAGAGAAAGAAAGTGAGAAAGATTGAAAAGGGTCACAAACTGTGCTTGAAAAATATTTCAAGAATTTACATCTATCAGAATTGTTTTGTAGATAATCTGTAGACATTTTGCGTCAATTTGAATCCCTGTACAATGACAGTTCCCCCATTGTAGTAGATTTGAGGAGTTATTATGTCATTATCTGGAAGATGAATAGAAATTTGGAATAGAGTTTGAGGAAAATGATTCTGCATACAATATGCCTGACTTTTCTTCAGCAAGATCTTCATTTTTTTCTCCTCTTTCTCTTTTTTTTTTTTTTATTTTTGGTCCGGGATATTTTCCTTTTGGTAAATAAACTCATTGAATTTCAGACAATAACAATGCCAGATTTTTCCCTCGCAAAAATTACAGCATAGATAATAATAATGATTTTTAAAAAAATGGGGTTCTGATATGTTTTATATTTATATTGGGTTACTTTGTGCGATCTCATAATTACATATAATGGCTATGTAAATAAATATTCAGCGCACATTTAATTTATATCGATATCTACAGCTCTCTCTATCTCTCTCCTTATATATATATATATATATAAAGAGTGAGAGAGAGATGCGTGTGCGGATGTATGTGTTGGCAGGATGTATAATAGAATCTGAGACAAAGTGGAAAATTTTGAATAAAAGACGCGTTTCGACGGAGAAAAAGCTTATCTTCTCTTCTCTTTGGCTTCATCAGTTCGATTAAAAGAATACACACACGCGCACGTGTATCTATCTATCCATATACACTTTTCTGTTTTACCTGGCCATATACGAATCGGTGCACAGATAAGCTTACATACATATATTATATATGTGTGTATTTATGTATCTTCTTTTATGTTCCGTGTCCCTTCAGCATGTATGCGATCGTGGCTCTCCGCAACATCCTTTGTAGCTGTTGTTAGCAGTGTTTCACTCTTTACTATCCCTCTCGCTCACTGTTCTGCCATCCATTTACAGAAACTCGTCAGGTATGTTATTCTCAGTTTCCCTCTCCTCCACTTGCCTTCACTATGTCCTGTGAATGGCAAATTCTCCAAACTCCTTTTTCTTATCATGTGTCTCTTTCTGATTATAAATATACGTGTTCTTTTTGCTTTCATCTTTCTTAAAACTTCCTCGTTGATCACATGTTCTGTCCACTCGAACTCTGCTTGCCTATTCTATCTTCTGTCCTATTTGTACAAAGAGTTTAGCTCAACTATAGGTCTCCAGGCTTAGCATCTTATCGACGTGGAAAAAAAAAACGATATAAAACATTAAAAATAATAAAAAAAAACAATTAGTTACAATAAAACTGATGCTATTTTTGTGAAGCTTTAATTATTTGTGAATAACTCCCCGAATTCTACAATATCATTTTTAGAATTATACGAAATAAAGACAGATAGAAAATATACTAGGACTCCTAAAGCTATGCGTTAAATTACCGACTAAACTGGGTTCTTTAGCCATGTTTTGTAACCAGTCTAGTAGCAGGACAAATCTGAATTTAAAACCGTATGTAACGCAGATGGGGTACATACGGGATGCGATGAGTAAATTGTCGTAATTTTATATTTTTAATTTCGCACATGCACCTTGTTTGTTTTTTCGCCGGAAATTGGGAAAAGGCATGCTGTACTGCTTGGAATTCTTGCCGGAAGAGAACATTTCAGAGTGTTTGGGTGTCAATTTGAGGACAGTGCAGAGGATTTGGAAAGAGTCGGATGAGCTTAATGGTGATTACGAAGGTATGGCAGCTAGGAAAACTCACTCTGATCGTTCTAATAAGAAACGAACTCCCAAATTTGTTAGTGAGGGTATCAGACTCAAAACTGAGCCCTCTATCAATTGCCTTGAAGAGGTAATGCTGTTCTGGGTCAAGAGGGTGGCTGCTGGAAGATCCTATGTCTGGCAACTGTACTCTGCACCATACCACACCAGAATAGTTGCAGGAGATTCCAAAATAGTCTGGAGGCCGTGGTTGAAGCCAGTGGCGATTTTATTGAATAAATTTACTCTTTAGCATTTCAAGATATTTTTGTGTAAATTTCAGTAAATATATCTGCTAAAATGATATGCCAGTGTTATTTTCATTTTTTAATAATTTAGACGACAATTTATCCATCGCATCCTGTACTTGAACTGTAATAAGGTTCGCTTAGCATGTGCATAATCAACCACAGGTTAACTTGGTGTGTAAGGAAATTAGACATGTTGTGTAGACATGCTGGCATTTATGATTACTTGGTCGGCTCCCTGTGGATTGTCTTCTGACTAAAATTCTTTCCTTTTTGTAATACTTAGGAGTATTGTAAATTTGGTTTTTACTTAAAGTCAACTGAGATTGATTAAAAAAATATTTTCATATTGCACATCCTGCACTCTACTATGTCTGTACCAATTTTATTTTTAGTGGGTTCTTCTGGAGCCTAGCAAATTATCTGAGCCTATTTCGAATCAACAGTGACTTTGATTATTAATGCAAATTTTACTAAACGCTGAAAATAAAGCTAGAATTTTGGTCTCCTACATCAGTGTTATTTTCAGTGTGTAAAACTGCAAGATGTGAGAAAAT